ACAGGATCAGACTACGCTGAGACCTCGGTGACGGATCTGCACGCTGTGAACAAAAGCATCGGAAAACCACATCCTGAACCCCAGCTGTGCGTCGCAACTGCTCCCTGCACCTGCACTGGCAGCAGACGCAAACTCACGATACACGTTTTTTTTTACCCACCAGTGCAGATGTTTATCTGGTCTCCACAGGAGATAAAAATAAAATAAATTTAAAAAAAATTATGTAAAAATTTTTCTTAAAGTTGACCGGTGTATAGAATGTAAAATGTGGGGTAGCATTTAAATTTTTTTTTTTTAATAATTACGTCCTAAACCTAGGACCAAAAATAAAATTCATTCATCTTAAAAATTTTTGCAGAATTTTTTAATACATTTTCCCGGGGAAAAAAACACAAACGTTGCTCCGTTTCTTTCTCCTTTATCCTCCGTGCTAGCCGCCGCGGCTAACTCGGCTAACGTCTTAGAATCAACGACGATAGCAACTTTTTTTTAATGACTTATTTCACTGAGACGTTACAAACCAACGGGGGTTAACATTCGGTTCGTAACGGTCGCGTTAGCGTTTATTAGTGCTATTTAGCAGCTACGCTAACGGCTCTGCTGCGGCTCAGGAGAGTCCACGAACGGCTCGGTGTAAAAGAAACAAAAAAACATGCCGTGTTAATCGATCAATCGATCGGCAACTATTGCCTCGTCACGACAATGAATATTAAACATATTATCGCATTTTAGGACGATATTTTGATCTTTTCGACAATCCCCGGGTTAGGAAAAATGATGTTAGCGTCACTGCTAATTTTTTTATTTTTGTTACAAAAGCGGCTAACAATCTCACTTTTCTGATTGGTTGCTCTCGGCCCGGGGCCGGTGACTCACACGCAGATCGCAACACTTCCTCCTCTCCCACAATCCCCAGCTGTCCCGGACTTGACCGTAAAAGAGCACGACAACCGCAGGTTAGCACGTGTTTTATCAAAGATTTGCAATTTTTTTTTACACAAAGGACAAATGACCACATTTGCAAAATAAATTTACATTTCATTTACTAAGTTTAAACTTTCGAGAAATCAATTTATTTTACCATGAATAAAACATTTTTGAAATCCAGCAGGGGTCACAATTTCTGCATTAAAATTAAAATGAATTTGCTTTACAAATTAAGGAAGTTTTTTTAAGGAAGTTTATATAAAATAAATATAAAAAATATTTAAAAAATGTATATTTTTATAAAAAAAAATATAAAAATACAAAAAAAATTCTTATGAAAATTTAAAATTTTCTTAAATTTTAAATTTCAGGAAAATTAAATTTTGAATTTATTAAAATTCAAATTTTAATTTTACAATTTATTTAATTAAAAATGTTTATAATTTGCCTTCAAGGACCACGCCCCTTATTTTCAGAACCACTATTTCAAAACGACCTCGGAAATATTGCTTTTGAAGTTGCGAATAAAAATAACGTGTTGATTTTGCCTCTTGTCGTGCTAAAATGCTATGCTAACACAATCAGATTCGACGTTACGAGACTTTTTCTGTACAAACACACCGAGTCCTACCGGTACTGTTGACGCTAACACCTGGTTCCAACTCGGAACGCGGTGTGTACGACGTCTGAATGTAAATGCGGGTTTGTTGACGTAAATGAGAGGCCGCGTCTATACTGCTTCCAAAACAAAAACCTGCGACATCGACGCGGGAGCACGCGACGCAGCTTCAACTTAAATAACCCCAAGATCGCTACGTGAGCTCACGGCACGTAGCCCGCGGCTATGTCTGGAGCGCGATCTTTACGTCCTCGTAATCATTCCGACTATAAATATCCGGCTGGCCCCGAGGGCAGGAGTCACGGGTTGACACACACACACAGAGGTGGACAAACCGGTTCGTGACGGCGGCGGCTTGTTGACAGTTGGCCAAAAAAAAAAAAAAAAACAGATTTCTCCATAGAGTGGAATCGTATCCGTGGAGCCGTCCAGTCAGAGCTCCGGGAGCGGAGCGCATGTTTGCTCATCCATAAAGACCCAGGAACCGGGGTATAACCCGGGAGACACGCCCACAATGTCGTCTCTGTTTGTTCACCACCAGAACAAGTGTTTCTGCTTCTCACACACAAATGACACACACAAACACGTTTTTGTATTGTTTTATGACAATAAATTACACGTGTCTCTGTGGGGACCGTCAAAATGTCCCCACAAAAAAAACTGTATCCGTTTCTGCAGGTGCATTCACACACACACATACATACACGTTTTTGTATTGTTTTGTGACACAACTCCAAACTACATGTTCCTCAGTGGGGACCCTCATAATGTCCCCACAAAAAATAAAACTGTAACCGTTTCTTCAGGTGCATTCACATACACGTTTTTGTATTGTTTTGTGACAACTCCTAACAACAGGTCCCTCAAATTGTCCCCACAAAAAAAAAACTGTATCCGTTTCTGCAGGTGCATTCATACACACACACACATACACGTTTGTGTATTGTTTTGTGACAACAAATTACACGTCCCTCAGAGGGGACCCTCAAAATATCCCCACAATAAAAAACTGTAACAGTTTCTGCAGGTGCATTCACACACACACACACACACACGCACACACACACAGATACATCCTGTAGCATTTGGTTCACCCTTGTTCCTGTTTTGAGGTATTCTAGCGTAACGTCTCTTAAAGTCTTCTCTACGCGCGTCAATGCTAGCGAATTTCAACCAAACTTATACAGGAAGTTGTTCAACTCATTAAAGCCTTCGACTACCGTCATGTGACCCCGCCCTCCCAAACCCCTCTGCCACCTAGTCCAAAAGCTTGTTCTTCAAATCTCCACCAAACTTTATCATTTTTTTTATAAAACATCGCAATTAAAACAAACTGAAATCTACTTCCACTCTTTGGTACCACTCTGAGGGCCGCACCCGCTACTTTGGAAACCACATTGATTAAAACCTGTAGACATTCAGGAACATTAAGAAGCAGCTCAGCGAAAGGAAACTTCCAGACTTTAGGACATCGATTGTTGTCCATTAAATTTACGAGACGTGCCATT